AGTCTGTACAGGGAACTGACCAGTTCTGACTCTAAAGGAGAAAACATCTTAGTCCATGGGCTAGGGTGGCTCACCGTGCACACAGACTTTTTTCTGAATAAGTGGACCCTTCGGTGCATGAGAAGGCTAAGTAAGTTGAACATTTAGGATCTGTGTGGTAAACTCAGATAAAAGATGAAAATTTTCATCTTCTGTTGGGGTTGTGACAATTTGACCTTCTGATGACATCATTGTTTGCACATTTGTTTAATGAAAAGTCATTTAAATTGAAGAGCTAATGAATACGAATCTGCTAATACCCTGTTTTTAAAATGTGGTTGGTTTATAGCAAAGTTATTGGCATTTAAGTTTCCTGTATATACCTAACTTTGATGGTCACAATGGAAAAGGGGTGTGGTCACAAAGTGGTCCCTGGGAGCCAGAGAGACCCAACTTTATTTCTGTTAACATGCTTTTGTTGAAAGAGTGGATCCTAGGGTACATGAAAATACCAGAGAAGTTCAGTAGTGGGGTGTGCATGGTGACCCACAMTGATCTACAGACTAAAAGARATGAAAATTTTCATATTTTGTTGGGTTAGTGACATTTTCTTCACCAAGATGACATCATCGAGCGCAAATTTGTTTAATGAAATTTCATTTAAAGCGAAGAGCTAATCATGAATCAGCTGATAACATGTTTTTAAAAATTTGGTTGGTTTATAGCAAAGTTATTGGCAGTTAAGTTTCCTGTATATACCTAACTTAGATGGTCAAAATGGAAAAGGGATGTGGTCAAAAGGCGGTCCCTGGGGGGAAGTGAGACCCAAATTTTTTTCTGTTAACATGCTTTTTTTGAAAGCGTGGACTCTAGGGTACATGAAAACACCATAGAAGTTCATAGTGACCCACCCTAATCTACAGACTAAAAAGATGAAAATTTTCATATKTTGTTGGGGTAGTGACATTTTGACCCCCCCAATGACATCATTATTTGCATATTTGTTTAATGAAATGCCATTTAAATGAAAGAGCTAATCAATATGAATCTGCTGATATCTTGTTTTCAAATTTTGGTTGGTTTATAGCAAAGTTATTGGCAGTTAAGCTTCCTGTCCCCCTAATTTTTATAGTCACAGTGGAAAATGGGTGTGGTCACAAAGTGGTCCCTGGGGGGTAGTGAGACCCAAAATTTTTTCTGTTAACATGCTTTTTTTTTTTTTTTTTGAAAGAGTTGGCCCTAGGGTTCATGAAAACATGAGAAGTTCAGTAGTGGGGTGCACATGGTGACCCACCCTATGTTTGGAAGACATTTACTATGACTATGTAGGCATACTGTATATGATAATAATGTTGATACGTTGCCTGATATAGTTTGCATTGTTTTCTTCTTGGACTGGATTTATTTAATAG